TCCAACGCGCACTCGTGGAATAATTGTTCAATATATAATCAGCGTTGGCTAGGGGCGATTAGTAATATAGTTTACCATTATACTCGAAATGAATTTTGCCAATATACATGAGCATTACTTTGGTTGCTGCCTCGATTCACACATTGGCCGTTTGCATAGTTGAGACTGATTATCCGTTCAAAACCTGTCAAAATTGACGGACAAACTGACAGATAAAGTCAGACCGATTATTCGTCCAAAATTAGAACCGTTCCGTTTTCACATAAAGACTGATTATCTGTCTGACACGAATTATTCAACGGATAACCCGTCTGAGACGGATGATCTCGTCTCTAGTGTGAGAACCGCCATTGGCCTTGATGGATGCCTTTTGTATTGATCACCATAGTAACGATTATGTATTATTACCAACTTCAGTGAAACTACTACATGTACTACTAAGTGATATTATAAAAAGTAATACAGTACGAAAGGTAAAAGTACTGATACTAAGTGAAAGTAGATTATGATTTGTACTAAGATTCTTGTTCAGTTAATAAAGGACATTGAGTAGAAAGCAATGGAAGTGTGAGTATCTCCTTGTCTCATGACTACACCACAATAATGGTGAACAGGTGTTATAAATTCGTGAAACGAGCCAATTTCCGCTGCTATATAATCACCGAGAGGGAAAGCCTAGAGATGATTCTTGTGTGGTGGCTCTAATTTTGTATGCGCTTAATTTTATCATCCAGTCGAAAACAGTGCATTTAGGGCCTATGCCTATGGTCAACAACTTTATCTACAGGTTTTCCAAACTGCAGCATCTTTTATTGTTAACTTAAAATCTTCAAAACCCTTCGCAGTCATAACAGTTTTCATATCCCTGGTAATCCAATAAGCGCATCGCGCAGAGTGCCTATTGTTCTCGGGACATTTACTTCCAGTTCAGCAAAGTTTATAGATCTGTCATATTGTTGCTTCTTTCCCACGTCTGTGAAATCCTTTCCAGAGTGGGCCATTTTCTGGCGCATTTTATGATATAAATCGGCCGCCTTTTCCTCCACGGTCGCGCGAAGATTGCCGTTTTCCTCAGTGAGCTTTGTCAACACGTCGTTTGGCGAGAGCTTGATCTCCTCTGGTTTAATGGCTAGTTTATTCCAAGTCTCAGTTCTAATTTTTTTTCTTCTTTTTCCGTCCGCCATGGCTTGGATCGTTCGCCAAAATCGCCGAATGCTCTCCTCGATTGAGTGCCCAATACCATCTCGAGCAGACTCTTCAAACTGGTAACCAAGCGGCTTGACACTGACTTGAAGTAAGTCGAAAACTGTCGCCGGCTTCCCACAAATTTCTCAGCATCTGTAAACTTTTTCACCATAATTTGCAGGTGGAACGTCGGGCTGCTTTCGTCAACAAATGGGGGAACCATGTGAATTTTTAACGGGTGGATCGGGTTTTCGAAGAGCTCTGAAAAGAGCTCCCGATACGTGACATTTTCTGTTTCCATGTTCATTAAATGATTTGGTCGGCAGGTGCAATGAACCATCTGACGCAACGTGATCAGTTTAAAAGTTCGCGGCTTCTCTGGACCATTTTACAATTGAGTGATCTTCTTGAATGGGCATTGTGTCAGTGTTGACAACCATTGTTATTCATTCGTGGACTTAAAGGCCCATGTTCACCCTAGATGCATTGCGCGCCCTGTTCTCCAGCAAAAAACATTTCCCGTAGTTGAAAATCGCTGCCTTCAGTGTGCAAAGTCAATCTTTGTTAATCTTCCACAGTTCGCTAAATCTGGTTTAAAAGAAAGTCTAAACAGGTTCTTTTGGTATTTTTCTTTACATCTTTTTGGACATTTTGGTCTGGTATCGATCCTTTTTGTTCCTGTGAGTGTTTGTTTTCACTGCAGCACTTTCGATGGCGGCGCCATCGAAACGTACGGTTGGAAGTCCGCGTTGACGGGGGTCTCCGAAGTACATTCGTCTCCGTGAATCCGTTTTTTAAATCTCTGGAGAGATGGGAAAGGAGCTCTTGGCTGTAAATTCTACAGACAGCGTGTTTGCCGAGTTCCCTCTACATCGAATGTTCAATTGTAAACAAACTGAGGTCCCGATGAAATCAGTTGAAAGCAAAACAGACAAGTCAATCTAACATAAACAATGCTTTATTTGATTTAACCTATGAAGCGAGTGATATCCTTAACATAAACTTATCGTCTGGCGTATCAAGATTAAAGTTCTAAAGTAGCGAGAACTATTATTAGCAAACCAATCCTTAGCAAAACGTAAAGAAAGTGTAACACAGCGATTACAGCAACAAGACTGTACGCAGTGCTGATTCGACGTTTTGTAAACACAACTTCTCGCTTATTCTTTCGACAACACATACCTAAGCTTCCTAAAAATTAACACAAAATAATAGATTGAGGAATCAAAACATTTCACGGTCGAATCGGGCTTCAGGAAAATCTCACCTGGTGCTTAGATCTTTCGTAATTTTGTGACCTTCATTGTATTCATCGGACTCAACAAAGCATCCATACGCATTCACTACCAGTTTAAATTTTGAACTGCTTTCTGCGGCGACATTTAACGAAGTCGGCGATATATCTTCCTCCATTTGGAAAAGAATTAAAGTCTTACTGGCCTCTTTGATACTGTTAAGCGTGAAAAAAGCTAGTCTCCCTGGCAGTCGTTTTTAGTATCGTCACGCAACTCTCTCCAAAAGTGGAAGCCAATCAAAACACTGCATTTGACAAAAGAATCATTTCAAAACAAAAACACAAGCGCGCAAAGCCGTTTGGGTGAACATGGGCCTTTAAAACAACAGCCCACTCGCCCAAAGTGCGCCATTTTGAAACTCAGCAACCACTAGCAGTTTTCGAGTCGCAAAGAACAGTGGTTCTCGTTTACCGATTTTAAAAATTAAAACGGATTCTGTTCTAGAAAGGCCCCATCTTTTTTTTACCGCGCGTGAAATTATGAAAGCTGGTGAAAATGTTCAGAAAATCGCTGTCAAAAGTGGCGCCCATACTGAAAACGATCGATTTTTCCGAATTTTCGAGCTTAAAAAAACAGTCCTCATACTCCCTTATATTCCTTCGTTTAAGGCTTAAAGTGTTGATACATCATTGCTTTCCAAAAAGCCGTGCGTGAAAGTTAAGATTACAACTTCTAAAAAACAGAAAAGTATGTTTTACTAGCCCTACTTGACCAATTTGGGCCCTTTCTCTTCTAATTCTGGGCTATTCAAAGCGCGCTCGCACTCAAATTTGCCGCTTCGATGACTATGAATAGTTCAGGATGTCCAGGCATTCTAACAAGCGCTTCCAAATTCAAAGTGACATAATAAAGGTAAGAGATTGCTAATTTATACTTAAAATTTAACGTATTCATAAAACCATTTTTAAAGCTTTCGGTGTTTACTTTAGGTAACAGGCTATAAATACATCTTAGCTTTGTCGAAGTCATGGGGTGTTAACAGTGTACATTAATTTGTAAAAATTAGAATAACGTCAAAACAGTGAAACAAAAGTTCTTGACACTGAAAGCAACCCGTTTTGTTAAAAGCAATAAAATAATTTCCTGTACGTCAAAACACCATAAGGACACAATGCTATTACGGATTTAAAAACTATCATTAATGAAAATAAGAGTAGTGAAAAGCCTTATCTTAATTAATTTTAGTTTGCATGTCTAATCTGTGTGCAAATTTTCCCCTTTCCTCTCTCCTTTCCGTTTCATTACCTTCTCTATTTTTCTACTAATGAGTCACTTAGCCGTTGCGTTTGAATTTTCTTGTTACTTCAATCAACGGTTACTTCTAAAGATTTATGTAAGGGTAGCGTACGAAAAGTCGAGTTAAAAGTTGAATTTTTTTTCCGCTATGCGTTTTTTCCTAATGTTTATCACCGCAGTTTGCGGGTTATTTCTTACAATAAAATAGTTCAAAAGTGGAAAATGTTTTTGATCCCAACTGAACTTAATCAGCCACTATAAAAATATGATTTTGAGAATGAATATATCGAGAGAGCTGAAAACGTGTCTGCAATTGTCTCATGTTTCTCTCAATTATGGAGAAATAGGGTAATTCTCATACAACGTTTAATTACCTAAATAGGACAGTGTTGTTCAGGGTTGTCATAGTGAGCTTGGGCTAGCTCTGACGTTTGTGGCAGAATCCACTTTACGTGTCGCAGAAACACCTGCCCCTCGTTGATTAAAACTAAGCTATAAAACTTTGAGCACGACGACTGAATATTGCTTAAGGCAGTTGACAATAGTCGATTTCGGAGCTCAGTTTTATAAGGTATTAGTTTTAATCTACAAGGATTTGGATACTGCCACAAGGGAGCTGCTGTTTCAAGAAAACCTAAAAGAACCACAGGTAACTGAAATCCCTTGTTACTCTATTCCACTTTGTGTGTTATATACCCAAATATCAATTGTGGTTCTATTTAATCCTTAATGTAATATTTGGACGGATGATTTTTCTAGATTTTCTACTGCAAAGTAATAGTAACGCAAGTAAAACACGCAAAAAGGTCGTATTTTACGTATGTTTACACGCAATAATTTTTTCAGTGGCAGAAATCCAGTTAAACACTCTAGGTCATAAAATAAACCAGGTTTCCTTGTCGAGTTTTCCTTTAAAGAGATTCTTCATAGTGGGCGAGTTAAGACATCAGCTGTAATCCTTCCCTTGGCTCAATACCTCGGCTCTTTCAGTGAACTCTTTTAACCCTTTGTGGCGCATATTTTTTCTTGCTAGCAGGAACTGATTGACGCTTAAAAAAATGGATTCCACAGAGGACCAACTGGCAGAAATGTTAAGAGAGTTTAAATCAAGAAGGAAAGCCAAAGTTATTGTGGAATCAGGTTTATACGTTCTTATTGTGTTCTTTCTGTTTGTTGGAAACTTTCTTACACTCCTGGTTATGTTGTTAAACCGACGGATGCGAACAATAGCAAACATGTTCGTAGCATCACTCGCTGTTTCAGACTTATTGTTAGGAGTTCTTGATGGCAGTGAACAGATATTACAGAATCGTCAAACCGACAAAGTACCGCCACTACTTCACAAAGAAGAAAACCCTTATCATGATACTTGTGACATGGTTCTATTCTATTTGCGCTCCACTAATTTACGTGCTACTTGGGAACAAAATGGTCTTTCATCCTTCAAAGTTCTTATGTTTCATGTCAATCAAAAACAGTGCATTTATGGCCTATGGTATTCCGCTTTACGTAGGGATTCCAATCTGTGTTATAATCTACTGCTACTTTAGAATCTTTACAACAGTTCGCCACCACAATAGCAATTTTCATCACCCTGGCAATCCAATAAGCACGGTAAACGTGGAAGAAGTTAAGGTGGCTCGCACCATACTTGTTATAGTGGTGTTTTTTAATCTGTGCTGGATTCCAATCTTAACAATTGACTTTTTGGACACGATTTTTCAAAGATGGATCTTCCCTCCCGAGGCTTATATCGCATATACGTTTTTGGCGACTATAAGCAGCGCTTTGAATCCCTTCATTTATGGCGTGCTCAACAAGAGTTTTCGCAAGAATTATCTGAATGTACTACGTTGCAGATGCTGCCGTTCTCAAGCTGTCGTAGAGCCATTGGCTCTGCGAGTGAGAGCAAGTGTTGTCGCCATGGGACCATTACCTTAATTAAAAGGTATACAGATTGAAACGAAGTAGCAGTTTAGGTTGTGTCACATTTAACTTTTCTTACCTGTAGTGTGACAGCTGGCCTAACTTATTTTCTTATCTCAACACTGAGTCTCGAATAATCGTCATGTCGACCCATGAAGCATTTTATTTGTTGCATAAAAATGTTATTAAAAACTGAATTATTGTATAATGCAATTCTAGAGCTCTGATTGGCTTAGACTTATTAATAGGGGTTAATATAGGTCCTTTATCCATTACAGCGTTAGTGACATTAGTGACTTCCCATTGACTTTGCAAGTAAGTGTTATAATATAATCTATATAATGCTATATAATCACCGAGAAGGAACCCTTAAAGATGATTCGTGTGTCGTGGCTTTATTTTGTATGCGTTCTATTTTATCATCCAATCGAAAACAGTGCATTTATAGCCTATGGTCAAGAACTTTATCTACAGGGGTTCCATACTGCATCATCTTTTATTGTTAACTTAGAATCTTCAAAACCCTTCTCAGTCATAACAGTTTTCATCAATAGTCGATCTCGGAGCTCGGAGCCGTTTTATTAACATAAGGAATTAGTTTTAATCTACAAGGATTATAGGTGCTTCTGTAATTGCTTTGGATACTGCCACAAGGGAGCTGCTGTTTCAAGAAAGCCTAAAAGAAACACAGGTAGAATAACTGAATGTCACTTATTCTTCTATTCCACTTTGAGTATTATATACCCAAATATCAACTATGGTTCTATTTTATTCTTACATAATGTAATATTTGGACTTGGACGGAACATTTTTCTAGATTTTCTACTACAAAGTAATAGTAACGCAAGTAAAACACGTAAAATAGTCGTATTATTCGTCTGTTTACATTTTTTTTTTTCAGTGACAGAAATTCAGTTAAACACTCTAGTTTATAAAATATACCAGGTATCCTTGTCGATTTTTCTTTCAAGAGGTTCTTAATAGGCGCGAGTTTAGACATCCGCTGTAATCCTTCCCCTGGCAAAATACCTCTGGCAACTCTTTCAAGAAACTCGTTTAACCCTTTGTGGTGTCAGAGGACCAACTGGCAGAAATGTTAACAGAGTTTAAGTCGTAAAGCAAAGCCAAAGTTATTGTGGAATCAGGTTTATACGTTCTTATTGTGTTGTTTGTGTTTGTTGGAAACTGTCTAACGATCTTGGTTATGATGTTAAACCGACGGATGAGAACAATTCCAAACATGTTCGTAGCGTCACTCGCCGTTTCAGGCTTATTAATTGGACTTTATATAGGTCCTTTAGCCATTGCAGCATTAGTGACTTCCCTTTGTCCATTTAAAGACACGACCCGCAAATTTCAAGGTTCATTAGCCTTTACGTTGTGTTTCGCTTCGATTCACACATTGGTCTTGATGGCAGTGAACAGGTATTATAGAATCGTCAAACCCACAAAGTACCGACGCTACTTCACGAAGAAAAAAACCCTTATCATGATTCTTGTGTCGTGGTTTTATTCTGTTTGTGCTCCATTAATTTACGTGCTAAGTGAGAGCAAAATGGCATTGTTTCATCCTTCAAAGTTCTTATGTTTTATTCGGCTCCAAAACACTGTATTTTTGGCCTGTGGTCTTCTGCTTTACATAGGGATTCCAACTAGTGTTATAATCTACTCCTACTTAAGAATCTTTACAACAGTTCGCCACCACAATTGCAACTTTCATCGCTCTGGCAATCCAATAAACACGGTAAACGTCGAAGAAGTTAAGGTGGCTCGCACCATACTTGTTATAGTGGTGTTTTTTAATCTGTGCTGGATTCCAATCTTAACAATTGACTTTTTGGACACGATTTTTCGAAGATGGATCTTCCCTCGCGAGGCTTATATGGCATATACCTTTTTGGGGGCTATAAGCAGCGCTTTGAATCCCTTCATTTACGGCGTCTTCAACAAGAGTTTTCGCAAGAATTATCTGAATGTACTACGTTGCAGATGCTGCCGTTCTCAAGCTGTCGTAGAACTATTGGCTCTGCGAGTAAGAGCGAGTGTTGTCGCCATTGGGCCATTGCCTTAAAAGATACGTATAAAAACGAATTAGCAATTTAGGTTGTGTCACATTTAACGTTTCTTACCAGTGGTGTGACAGCTGGCCTGGCCTATTTTCTTATCTCAACATTGAGTCTCGAATAATCACCAGGTCGGCCCATGAAGCTTTTTATTTGTTTCATGAATTAAAATGTTATTAAAAACTGAATCACTGGATAATGCAGTTCTAAAGCTCTGATTGGCTTAGCCATCATGGTATATGAGCCATTATACCTTGCTCGCCAAATGTGGTAACTATGCGTCTGCTCAAAATTAAAAAAGAGCTGATTTAGCCGGTTGTTTTACAAATAAAGTCCGGAAGAATTCTTGATATTTTGTGGACGTTTTTAATAAAATAATTATTCCACTCGCTCTTGTTGGATATGAAATGATTATAGCCCACTCGGCGCTACGCGTTGGCTTTCTACCATCTCATATCCAATGCGCACTCGTGGAATAACTGTTCAATATATAATAAGAGTTGGCTAGGGGCGATTAGTAATATAGTTTACCATTATACCCGAAATAAATTTTGCCAATATACATGAGCATTACTTTGGTTGCTGCCTCGATTCACACATTGGCCGTTTTCACACTTGTTACCATAGTAACGATTATGCACTATTACCAACTTTAGTGTAATTACTACATGCACTACTAAGTGATATTTTAAAAAGTAATACAGTACGAAATGTAAAAGTACTGATACTAAGTGAAAGTAGATTATGATTTGTACTAAGATAAAGATTCTTGTTCAGTCAATAAAGGACATTAGGTAGAAAGCAATGGAACTCTGAGTATCTCCTTGTTTCATGACTTCACCACAATGATGGTGAACAGGTGTTAATTATATATTCTTCAAACCAGCCAGTTACTGTCGCTATATAATCACCGAGAAGGAACCCCTGGAGATGATTCGTGTGTCGTGGCTTTATTTTGTATGCGCTAATTTTATCATCCAATCGAAAGCAGTGCATTTATGGGCTATGCCTATGATCAACAATTTTATCTACAGGGTTTCCAAACTGCATCATTTTTTATTGTTAACTTAGAATCTTGAAAACCCTTCGCAGTCATAACAGTTATCATATCCCTGGTAATCCAATAAGCGCATAAAACGTAGAAGTTAAGGTGGCGCGCACCGAATTCGTCACGGTGGTATTTTTAATCTGTGTTGGACACAATTTTCTAAGATCGATATTCCCATGGCAAAAGCGTTTTTGACCACTTTATGCGACTTGATAAACAATACTTTCGTGAGAATTATTTGAAGGTGCTACGCTGCAGGTAGTGGGCACTACTTGCAATTAATCAATTAAATAAATAAAAAAAAGCACACCTTTGGGGGAAAACAACTGTATCCCGAGTGCGAGTGTTATATTTGAACCTACAGACAACCAACATAAGTATTGAAAGGCATTTAGACTTAACAGCATTGTTGGCGGAGGAGTTTTGACGGGGAATAGGTGATTCCTTCAACAACATAACCAAGTCTTTCTGTTCAGCTCGAACTAAGTTTTCACAGCGACCATCTGGATCGTACTCTCAAATAACCGTTGCTGCACCTCTCGTTTTAATAGTTGCCAATAAACCCATCCGTTTAACCCAAATTGATGCTTACGCATGTCTGATTTTCGAACATGAATCGGTAATTTCCTCTTTCATATTTTTCTTTCACTTTTATTTGCCCAGATTTTCAAGTATCCTTTCTTCCACCTTTCAATTCGTTTATGGGGTGAATCTTGTAACTTTGTCTCCAAGACCGGCTACAATAATTGCTTTCGAATGCAATTTTCTGATGTAAGACACCACTTTTGTTTGTAAGTCAAATTCATTTTCTATTTTCAATTATTGTACTTGGGTTATGGTAGAACTTCTTAGAAAACCCAGTCTCTGAAAACTTCAGCTTGTTTAAACTTGTAATTGAAAATTAATTGGTATGATCCAGTTTCACTCATAAAAATTGTATATGTTGCTGTGTAATTTTAAGGAGGTGGCGATTCACCACCTCTATTTTTTTGGTATTCTTTTTTTATATTTCTCACTCACATGATCGATGATGGCAGATTTATATTTTCTTATTATCACTATAAGAAGTCATTTCGATTTCTAAATCATTGCAGAAAAATTTCTGTGCCATCGCTCAGTATAATTTTTGAAGGCTTGGCGCTTTCTAGCGGACCTCTTAGGAAACAGAAATTTACTTCAATTGGTTCAAAAGGTCATGGTTTGTGATTTGCGATTGGTGGATTTGGATTCGTTTTGTGTGTTCGTTGCTTTTGAACTAGCCTGCGAGCAAGCTCTCCGGGGCGCTCTGGCGGCGGGGCGGGAAAAGGAAGGAGAGCTTGCAACTAGGTCTCTGGAATTTGAATATCTGCATCGAAAAAGTCGATGCGAAATGCTGATTGGCGGAGATGACATTAGTAATGACGTCATTACCCTTAAACGTGTTTTTCGATGTTTGTTTACGTTCGAACTCGTTTCCCCTTCACGCTGATTTGCGGAAATCTGACAGCTCAGTCGACGGAGAGCCACAGGGAAATTGGAGGTGGAATTCTAATTGCACAGACGTAGTTACAATAGCCTAGATACAAATATCCGAATATTTTTTTTAGATATTGAGAAGATTTTGAGATATTTAGAAAAAAGTCGGGAATTTCCGGAAACATATTTAGGCGATTTTTCGTGGTATTTGTATCTAGGCCTAAGTTGCAAGGTCTCCTTTCTTTTCGCTCCCCGCTACCAGAGCACCCTGGAGAGCTTGCTCACAGGCTACTTTTTAACTTCAGAGTTTGCGTGTTTCTGAAAAACGCAGTAAGTTTTCCCTCTCTGTGCCTTTTCGATCAGAAGGATTTGTGCTCTGATGTTCTGTAAAATCACAATAATCAGATTGAAACCGATGTGCCCTAATTTGGCCGCATTTATGAAAAAAATAGTATATCCTTTTTTAATACCAAAAATATCATTCATGTTATTGCAACACTTTTTGTTTTAACCTTTGTTTTACTTCTTTAATTCAAAATCATTCCACAAAAATCACAATTTCCATGTCCAAATGATTTCAATGCGTGATGATCAATTTCTCTACAAATAGTAACTATATACTATTATTATTATTATTAAGATCGAAGATATTTTTCAAGTGCGTTTACTCTAAAATAACACACTGGTTGAGGTTTGTTTTAAAAAGAGGTCGAATTTGAAATAAACTTAAAACTTAAATTGGCATATGCCTTACAATGGTTTCTTGGGGCTTGGTCGCTTCGCTTCCCTCGCCACAAAATTATACAATTAAATTGGAAATTAAATTTGGCAATTAGAAAATAGCTAGTCGTCGCCCTCGCATGCTCGCTTCGCTCACGCCGTTCTACTCCACAGTCAGTCGTCACTTCGTTCCTTCTTCATGCAAGTAGGAACAAACTTAATGGAAAAATATTTACAACTCGCTTATTAAAAATTAAATTGGCAATGAAAACAGGAAGCAATGACTCGTACTTGTCATATTTCGTACTTCGTACTCAACGACAAGTACCTACCCTTGTTTACCTGTTTCCATTTCCAAATTGAAAATGAAATTGAGAAATCGATTGTCAATGAAATTTTCAATTTGATTGACAGGGTAGGAAAGGGAATGGGAGATACGAGCGCATATAAATCGAGCTCAGCTCGAATTATGCGCTGGTACCCCCCATGATTTCCTATACTACTTGTTTAGACCCCTAATCACTCGATTTTTAGTACCTTTGAGACTGTTGGGGGAGGGAGTATAGTAAGTAATGGAAAATTAAGGGGCTACCTTTGTTTACTCATTTTTGTTTACTTCTGAAAAATGATTAGTAAAAGTTCAGTTTTCGTGTCAGACATTTCAACAAGATACATTAGGGGGCGATGATAGTAATTTATACTAACATCTATAAATGCTAAAATTTTGTCGCCTAATTGCTTCTCAGCACTTAACTTCAGGCTTGTTTATAGAGAAATATTCTTTTCACCATGCACGGAAATGAGTTTAGCAGAAGATATAATAAAGGCAATTTGGCATTGCTGTTCACTGTTTTATTTCA